ACCTAGTACATTACACTTGCTGTGCATTGTTTCCGAAGTGCCGTACCAAAGCACGGTTGCCACAATCTGTCGCACGTTTGCCAGGTGTAGACTATATACCAAGGTTTCGACAGGGATTGATTTTGTAGGTTTCGATGGACGTAGCAGGCTTTCAGTCGACAATGGTGTGTGGTGATCCTTCTTCTCCGTGTGATGGCGCCCGACATGGGTTCGATTGCATTTCAACGTTCGGCATAGGCTTCCATCGGCTACAAGCCCCAGTGTTTTCAGATCCGGATTCCTGTGCAACATGGCTCAGCATGACCGCGCCGTCTTTTCTTGTGACTCAGATTCCGATGTGTCAGGAGCGGACGTGACTGCAACTGCTGTGCATTCCGGGCCTTTCAGCTTTTCTGACGGAGAATAAGTTTGAAGGTCAAGAAACTCCTTTCGTGCAACAGAAAAGCGGTGACATCCAGGCTTTCATCGACATGCAAGAGTTTGCTACCACTCCTGCTTTGAGCTTTTCCGATGCAGACATACCCATCACTCAGGAACCAGCTCAGACACCGCCAAGAAAAGCAAAATCAGTCGAGCGGCCGAATCGAGGAGTTCGCCTTCCAGTCTTTCGCCTCGTGAACGACCTTCGGGACGAACAAGAAGATTCTGAGGGCAGCCCTCACCTTCTCAAGCGCTGCGTCGCGGGCCCCGAGCAGCTTGACGACGGTCTCTTTCACGCGGAGCCGTTGCACGAGCTCGCTTTTAGGGGAGGCATGGCAGCAACAAACGCACTGCATGACTGCATGAGCATAGCTCAACAAGAGGTGCCAGGACTTCAGCCTCGCCGAGGTTCAAAAGTCCCCGGGCCACACTGCAGTGAGAGATTCACAGCTGACGAAACTGACCAGCTCGCCGTGCTCGCTGCTCTTCCAAGCGAGCCTCCTAGGCCTCTGGAGACCTGGGACGCCCGGCGGGCCGAGTCCACGCTTGCAGCCGGGGTCAACAACGGTATCGCGATGTTGATGGGACGTCTGCCGGTCCTCGAGAAGATGGCCTGCTCAACGCGACGATTTAGGATGACCTTCCAGTCCGCTGCCCGATGTGCCATGGCCTGCAGCTCATCTTCGGAAAAACCATGTTTATATGGCACAAGTCCACCCACACGTCCGGCAAAGCTTTGCGGTCAGCCGAAATGCAGCCAGCACAAGAGGCAGTCCTCTCAACACGCACCGCGCCGCGCGCAAGCACCTTAGCCGTCATGCGAGAAAGGCTCGTGCGGCACATGTAGCGGCACGGCGTCACGCCGTGTTCATGGCCGGGTCATATCACACTGACGGGTGGCATGCGTCTTGCAGAAATAGGACGGAGGGCTACACGAAAGTCATGAGGAGCCTGCCACCCTGCTTGTGCGACAAGGGTGTTTTTGAGTGCTGGCCGGACTCTTGACCAGCACTTGACACCCCACTGAATGTTGCATCCACCTGCTTCGCCAGGAGCAATGCCGCCAACCAAATAAACATCGTCCTTGTCGCCAAACACGTGCTGTTCACGTTGGCCTTCATTCTGCTGGAGCCCGCATCGCGTCATTAGCAAAGATGGTGGACTCAACTTGCTCGGGCCGACACTCGCGGCCATCATTCTTCCGCGTCCAGTTTGTCGAAGGGCGAAGCTCGTGTTGCCAACTCAGCGGTATGCCACATTCAAGGCCGCGACATGTCGCAGCTACAACACTGTACAGAACATTCCAAGCCCAGGGCGATGTGCCATCGCCTTCGCCAAAACCCGCGGCAGGAAAGTAGAGCTCACCAACCACAGCTGTTGAGGACCCAGTGAGCATGAAAACCCCGCAGTGTCCTCATGACAGGCCCGTCGCAGGAAACACCATGACGCATCAGGATGTGCCAAAACGGTAGTTTGTTCGCCGTCGGGTATGCTTTTTTAACTCCATGAGCCCCCCGCATACTCAACATCCTGACAGCCAAATGCCTTCCATGCTGAAATCTCCCCGTCAAGTCGGCGAATCATGAAGAGGGCGTCATCTGCCCCCAGTCTTTTCCGAAATCCCAAACTTTGGGGCAATGGCAAATCGGTCTGCTCAAACCAGTGTTGCTGTTGAGAACTCTGGCCAGGACACGTGGGACCGTCCACAGTAACACCGCTCCACCATCTGTCCATGTCAGTGAACGACCCTGTCTGTTTCCACAGCGGCACTTGCAGACCAGGACCATCTAAACCCATCTTGGGCCACTCGGTGGCACACAAAACAGCAACTCAACGAATCACGAATGTTGTGCACCAACTGGCGCACGCCAAAATGGCTTCCCTTAAGGACAACGATGCGGATTAGAATCTCTTGAAATGGGCAGCTATAACGTACTGTGCTAAACTTATCCAATTGATATGGGCAGCTACAACTTTCTACGCTAAACATATCCAAACTTCTCGAATCTTTCTGAATGTTCACTGTTGTGCGCTCCTGCCATATGCATCGAGGAACTCAGGTGCAGAAGAAAAGGCCTCCGAGGGCGAGAAAGGCCTGATCCGAGCAGCTTTCTTCTGGCCTCTCACCTGCAGGACACGAAGAGACTGAAAGAACTGAACAGCTTCAGATTATCTACCCAAAGCGTACGGGTGGAAGAGGAAATGTGCGACAACCACAAAATGCTGCGCAACATACACGGAAATGAACAAGCTCACAGCATCATAGTGAACGGTTTCGTGACCAGTGACAACCCACGGACAAGCCGAAAATCAGCATGAAGCCAACAACACGACCAGAACTGTCGGACCTTCTGATGGCATTGTTCGCTTTAACTTGGGGTCACTCAACGGTGCTGCCACTCTGAAACCACTTTGCTTTTTGCTGAGCTTGCGTTTACGAGCTCGGCCTTGCAGAACATCAGGGACTTCCACTGCAAGGAAAGCCAACTCTGCGCTAGATTCAGCAAGGCAACCTGCAATGGCTGGCCCATGGCAGCATCAAACCTGGAAAGGAAAGATCACATCGCCACAACAGGCTCTTGAGTCTCATATGTGAAGAAGCCTTCAGAGAAGCAAGATTTGTCAGAAGACACGAGCGAAACTCGGCAAGCGCATCATTCACAACTGCAGCATTACTTGGATTAATGATGAACAGGGGCGGAGGGCAACTGAAGCTTTTGCACAGCAACTCATATCGCGAAGCTCTGCTTAGCCAAAAAGCTTGCCAGCTTGTTGCCTCGCAGTCTCTCCTTCAAAGCCATAAGTTACCCTCAGTTCTTGACCGCAATCAATCATCTCCCAATCGGGCACAGACAGCCAGGATGCCTGAAAATGATTCAGCAAAATTCTTTCTACCGTTTCAACTGCCATTAGTTCAGCTCGTTGGTGTTGTAGATTCACTTTTCCCGAAAGCCATATCGAGATGGAAACTCTCCGTCTAGTGAAACTGTCCATGGGATGCAGTGCATGGTTCGGCGTGGCACCTCGAGCTCCTAGGACAGAGTGTACCTTGTCCCAGATGCCAGGCTGACCCACGCCATCAACCACGCACGCAGGCCAAACATGCGGACCACACCTTTGCGTTGTAGCCTCGTTGTTCTGCCCAATTGCTCCTCTGGCATTCACTTGACAAGACATCTGGATGTCATTGAACAAGGCAAAAACCGGGCACATCATAGCTGCCAGGATTTCCTTCGAATCCATTTTGCCATCCAAGCGCACTCTCCCTGAAGACGTGATTTGAAAGTTGGTGCTCGGACCAAGTTTCGTTTGAACTGCCGGAACAGAGTCAGACCCTTTACAAACCGGACAGCATGGACGAGAGCAGGGTGCCCCGTCCCAAGGTAAAGCAAGTCAACAAAATGCCCGCTGTGGCCAACTGCCTGTAGAACAGGAACAGCTTGTCATTGCGATTTGTTTTTCCGACACGAACACAAGTCCACCCCTGAGCAGGGTGGTCTGCCACGAAGGTGTCCCGAATTGTTGCTCAAGCATTCTGAGCTGAGTACGATGTGCCCGGCGGGCTGCATTGTGCTCAACGCTGCAGGCCTCCACTTGCTGCACAAGCTCGGTGTCATCAGGCGTCTCCTGTAGTGCCGTCTGCAGCCGTCTCTTCTTTCCCCGAAGCGCCAAGCAAGCATCATTCATGCGCTTGATCTGCGATGCTGAGTGTTGCGGAGCCATGGTTTACGACAAGATCTTTGAGCTGGGCCGCAAACCCGCAAGGTATGATCCGCAGCCGTCTTGCGAAAATCTGTAAACTCAGTGCAAACATCCCCATGGCGAGCCATGAGCTCCTCACGAACACCATCGAGTTGCCACGAAGTGCACTCAAGTCAGGGCGAGGAGCAGCTGATGCAGGCGGTTTGCGCTGCTTCTGTTCGAAACGCACTACGTACTCCTTGGCCGAGTGCTGGGTGAGCAGGTCAACGGTGGCATGCCGCACTGTCATGCTCACAATGCGGTCCAGGTGACGTGTGTGAACCAACATCCAGCTTGACATAATACTTCTTGTGTAAGCTGGAAAACCAAGTGCATCAAGGAGTGGGTCGGCAAGGCCAAGACAGCTTGCGTCTGCGATTGCCATCCGGGCGTACCTGCGCTTGGGACAACTTTCATAGTGCTACATTTAGCTGACATTCTGTAGTGCACAGTGAATGGCAACGGGTTGAGTCAGTACTTGACCGATCTGATTGATGTTGTAGGAGAGAGCCAGTGTTCCGGCGATTGCACAAGTCCTGATGCAAGAGAGGAGAGAGCTCATCTTGGATCAGAGCAATGCTTGATTTGCTTGGTGACAGAATGCTTCAGCAGATACAGCAGAGACTCAGACAGTTAGACGTGCAGTTGCGGGAGAATGATCAACGTCTGCTTGAAGTGGTTCAAGAAGTAGCGCCTGACCGAAGTGGCTGATGCTGTAGGAAAGCTCAGATTGGAACAGAGTAATGTTTCAGGGCTTGATTGGTTGAGTTGAATGCCTCGGCCTGTCAAGTGATTGCTGTTTGAGACTGTTGCTGATTGATGCAAGTCGAATGCACCAGGTGGTGCAATGACAGCTTGAGTGGTATGTGCTCGAGTGCTTGCGATGTTCTAGCTCTGAAGCAGCACGCAACAATGAAGCTTGTGCAGGAATTCTTGATATTCTTCTTGAGGCGGACGAGGAGGATGCGCTACACATGTAGATTTTTGATAGATTTCTGGGCTCCGACGCTTCTCATGCTAGTCGCATAGCTCCGCGCAGAACGTTTTGTTGCTCGGAATATGTCAGGTGTGTTCAGGTGAATGAATTCAAGACGTGGCGACTGTCAGTTTTCTATCCCGATAGACGCTTGATTGATTGAGTGCTTCAGCTTGTCGCATGTCTGTTGACGGCTGAGACCCCTTCCTTGGGAAGGGCGTGTGGGTGAAACTCTTGTCTGCAAGAGAATAACCAATTACTAGTTGATTACACGGATTTTCGTTTGGAGTCAGCGCTTGACCGAAGTGTGATTCATGCTGTAGGAGCGCTCAGATTGGAACAGGGTAATGCAATTGCTTGCTTGATTGAATGCCTGAGCCTGTCGAGCTGTTGCTATTTGAGATGATTGCAACAGCCTGTGTCGACCGAGGCCTCTTCCTCGGGAAGGGGCGTGTGTGTGAAACTCCTGTCTGCACAGGCAAAACTAAATACTAAATGGCAGGAGGAGGATCAAACTATCCAACGAAGTGATTAGTAACGCTCAGTCATGCACTTGGTTTCGGCATGGCCAGAGGCAGAGAAAGAGCTTCCAACATGCAGCGAGAGCAAGTCCTGCGGCGCAATGTCTGCCTGAAGCGAATGATGCCGTAGCGCCTGATCGAAGTGATTGATGCTGTAGTTGCGCTCAGATTGGCACAGACATACCTGCAATGTACACTGGGATCGTTTCAGGTATGTTGAAGTGGAAGGACCCTGTAATTGGATTGGAGATCTGCACCAGTGTGCGTGCGTTTGTGTGTTTGTGCGTGTGTGTGTGTCCTATTGAAATCAGCAGGGGGCGGCAAGGAGTCCACAGTTCTGCTGCCAACGAAGACAGCTGTGGATACTCCGTCAGGCAGATTGGGACGCCAATCTGTGTAACTGCAACTGAATGTTTGTTTTCGTAAGTGAAGCTGCGTACATGTGGGATAAAAAGTTCAGCTATGAGGTGTGTTCAGCCACATGGACCCAATACTTGGAGTGGAGATTTGCACGTGCTGTGCGTGTGTGTTTGTGAATGTGTATCTGTGCTTGTTTTTTTGTGTCGGAAACCATGCCCGCGACAAAAACCCGCCTAAACAAGGGTTTCAAGGTGGCTGGAGAGGGGTGGTAGACTACTGACTGCTGCATTTCGTAACGCATGCACTGGTACCAGTATTGTCACTGCCTGAGTTGCAGCCGCTTTCTCGCAGTTTTCAAAAGGCCTTTGAAGCCGCAGCGCATGGTTGACAACTCTGCTCTGTTGTATCTGTACCAGTCGACCCCACCAACATGAGGCGGACAAATTCGTCACAGTTACTTCTTCTTGGGCCGACGGTTCCCAAAGCGGCGGTGATGTTGTGACACTGAAGGCTAGCCACGGCAAGCGTATCGAGCTTCGCAGTGAGCGGGCTTTCCAACACCCAGCATTGGCAGACACCGTTCAGATTTGAACTTCGGGTGTGTTCAGGGAGCTGTCTTGTCAAGAGACCTGCATGAAGTGGCTGATGGGGAAAGGACTCCAATTGCCCATCCGCTCCCTTTACCCCCAGCATTTAGGCACCCTGGCCCCGCCCATCCCCCCAGAGCCAAAAAAGCAAGCCAGACGAAAGTGCTTTGGATAAAAATCCACCCTTGTAGAAACCACGTGTAGCACTTAAGCTCTCAGCCCTGTCGTGCAGACCCGAGACCCTGTGAGAACCCGAGTAGCCGATGCCAATGGGAACCCGTCGCATCAGGCGGCATGAACCACGAAATCACAGAAAAAGGCCCAAGCTGGGGGCTGAGGGTAAAGAAACCCTAAATTTCCTAAGCCATGATGAAAGCCTAAGCCCACACGCACCTTCCCCACTGTACAAAAACATGAAGCGATTCTCTTGAGTCTTGTATCGGGAAAGGCCCAAAAGACAATTTCAGTTTGACTGTAAGCCCCGAGATGTGGGTGGAACCCGGAGAACCAAGTCGACCCGAAGCGAGCGTTCTGAGGGCTGTTTGTACCTTCCGCAAAGCGGATTCGGCCGACCTAAACTGTTAGGCGGAAAAAGGTGCTCAAACAAAAGTATCGACCCGAATGTCTGAAAGTCTGCATTATTCAGCTCTGGACTCGACCAGACGTCACTCCGACACCCAACCCAAGGTCCGATCAGCGACAGCTGCGCAAGAATTTCGCACAAGGTCCTAACGAAGTGACGGCCCTCCCCTGACCCTTAGAAGAGACTTCTCAAACTTGCGACAGCCTCGGCAAACTGGCACAGCGATTCGAGAGCACCAGTTGTGCTGTGTGTTGGTGCGTTTAGTTCCTTTCGTTGTCGGTTGTGGTCTGTGTGGTTTGTGTTGGAGTGAGTTCTTGCTTTCTTTGGTCTGGCTCAAGAGTTTCGGATGTTCTTCGCGATGTGGGATGATGTTGGTGTGTTTAGTCGGTGACTCTTGGAGAGTTCTCAGAACATTCCAGGGACAGGGTGGATCTGCCGATAGGGTGTTCATGGATATCTGTGACAGAAACGGTGCGTGCACCGTGCACTCCCACGGCCCACGATCATCTGGTTTCGGATGGCTATGTTGAATCGAAATGCCGGAATTGTGCTAGTTCGGAGTGCCGTCCGCAAGGAACCACGCCTGTCTATCGCAGCTGATTGTTCTACACCGCGCCGCCGGCGCAATTGTTCACTGCGCTTGTGGATACTGTTTCTTCACACTCTCCGAGAGAACGGCCCTGAGGCACAGCTTCCTGTTCAAGCGACTCAGGGCCCAAGCGAATGGATTCCTACTTCAACATACATCTTCCAGGAGCTGCATGTGGGGCAAAGAGGTCGACTCGCATGCAGCTGTGGAGGAGCTGCATCCACCCGTTTGAGGGTCAAGAGCAGCTTCCCAGCCTCAAAAACTCGAAGCCTTGCGCCTGCCTCGCCTCTTTCTTGCGAGGCCGAAGGACGGGACCGAGCTTCTGCTGCATTCCGATTGCTCCCAGGGCCCGGAGCCGAGCCGAACATGCCAGGGTCGTAACCCACCCACCAGAGCACCCCCTTCGAAGCAGCAGGGGCAGCAGTGTTGAGGTCCTCTCCCCACCTTTCTCTTTTGCCGTTCGCGGCGTGCCGTTCGGAGGGGTTTGGGGTGACGTCCCAGGGGTCCGCCACTCCACAGGATGAGGCTTCTCTCGTGCTGGGTCCTAGTTCCGAGGTACCTTGCCTAGGTCCTTTGAGACGGTGAAGTAGGGTTTTGCTGCTGTTGCCCCGCCAGGTCTTTTTTGAAGAGAGTGCAACGCCCTGGTGGCGTGTATTTCTCGGGAATTTAGGAGTTTTCACTCGAGTTTTTACACTTAGATTTTCAGAAAACAACATAATACGGGCCTGCGTTTTGTGGGTTTCAGAAACATAGGCATGGACTTAT